TAACTTCGAAGTAACATCATGTTCACATATCTGATCTCTCGATTTTAATACACATAAATTATTCCTGAACTGTGTCTAAAACAGATTGTTAAACATTCGGATGTTGCAGGGACAATTTCAGTGTTCAACAGGCTTATGTGTATTCACCCACTGCTGTCCGCAATCGCGCAATAGATATTCATCCAAGATTTCACAATCCGGCTTGTTTATTAAACTATACGTGCTAACACGTGGGTTCACATGGGTCATAATTTACCACTGGGTTTACAGGTCAACCGGTTACTTTTAACATTCACAATGGGGAGTGGTATCTCCCTTCTGAGTAATTCTTGTAGCAATGTCACCTTGAGATGTTGCAACACTGCGTGGTTTTTGTCGTAATAACCTACAAGCCACGTCTTTCGAGAGGGCTCACGACAAACAACTGAACGGTGGAGTGACCTGTCAGTATTGTGGAAAGACACGCCTTTATATCGACCTGTTTCCACTTGCACGGGAGCAACGCCACATCTGTCCGTGCATCTGTAGTTTCCCGAAGTCTTATTGAAACAGAGTATTCTTTCCCATACCCTCACTAGTATCAGCGCATTTTCAGTTTATCAGTCCACATCAACTGGTAACATACGCATTTTTACGCAACTGCACATATACCATGACACTATGTCTAACTTTACTCACTGACAGATTATACACATTGCACAGTACACACACCACACTCGACACCGCATACTTCAATCTACATACTGCACAGTACACACAACACACTAGACACACACACCTCAACCTACACATTACCCATTACACACAACACACTAGACACTACACGTCTCAAACTACACACTACCTATTACACACAACACACTACACACTATACACCTCAAACTAAACAATTTCCATTACACACACCACACTAAACACTAAATACCTCAAACTAAACGATTAACATTACACACAGAGCACCAGACACTACACACCTCAAACTGCACATTGCCCATTACAAACAACACACCAGACACTACATACCTCAAACTAAACACTCCCCATTACACACAACACACTAGACATCACACACCTCAAACTGCACACTACCCATTACACACAACACACTAGACACCACATTCCTCAAATTACACACTGCACAATAGACACCCATACCTCAATCTACACACTACACACAACACACCAAATACCTCAAACTACACACTACACAATAGACACCCATACCTCAAACTACACACTACACAACACACTAGACTCTACGTACCTCAAACTACACATTATACACAACACACTAGACTCTACGTACCTCAAACTACATATTATACACACCACACTAGACACTACGCACCTAATACAGCACATTATACACAACAAACAATACATACCTGAAACTACTACACTGCACATGACACACTGCCAACCACACACTTCACCTCCACACTACACAACACAAAATATATAACATAGATATCAAAAGACTACATGTCATGTTCACTTCAAATATTTCACTCTTTGCAAGACAAATATTTATTAACTGCATCATTGTCCTTGATTTCTAGGAATTGCTTGACTAGATAATTATTCAGAAACTCCCTCTCTCATTTCCCCATCATGCTGTCGTCAAGGTTACTTCCTGGTATGGAGGTCAGGAGCTCTTATATTGATACTGAATTGTCCCGTAGTTTTCCACCGGGTATTTCATTGAGGTATTCATGAAGCAAAACTCAACCTCGTCATACCATGTGGGGTGTTTATTCTACAACTGTTGTGTAGTGGAAATTTCATAGCTAGAAATGTTGGTGTCAAAGCAAAGGTTTACCTAAATGTTGCATAAATATAAATACGAAGACAAATATCAAAATGTCGAAAACTATAATAACGTAATTGAAGCGGAACATTTTAGTCAATTCATGTCCCGCTCATAGCCACTTGTCAGATAGGTCGGCTGGACTCCCACATTACTGTCTAGAAATCACTTGTCATATAGGTCGGCTGGACTCCCACATTACTGTCTAGCAGTCACTTGTCATGTAGGGCGGCTGGACTCCCACACATTACTGTCTAGAAATCACTTGTCATATAGGTCGGCTAGACTCCCACATTACTGTCTAGCAGTCACTTGTCATGTAGGGCGGCTGGACTCCCACATTACTGTCTAGAAATCACTTGTCATGTAGGGCTGCTTGACTCCCACATTACTGTCTAGAAATCACATTACTGTCTAGCAGTCACTTGTCATATAGGTCGGCTGGACTCCCACATTACTGTCTAGAAATCACTTGTAAGATAGGTCGGCTAGACTCCCACATTACTGCCTAGCAGTCACTTGTCATGTAGGTCGGCTGGACTCCCACATTACTGTCTAGAAATCACTTGTCAGATAGGTCGGCTGGACTCCCACATTAATGTCTAGAAATCACTTGTCAGATAGGGCGGCTAGACTCCCACATTACTGCCTAGCAGTCACTTGTCATGTAGGTCGGCTGGACTCCCACATTACTGTCTAGAAATCACTTGTCAGATAGGTCGGCTAGACTCCCACATTACTGTCTAGAAATCACTTGTCAGATAGGGCGGCTAGACTCCCACATTACTGTCTAGCAGTCACTTGTCATGTAGGTCGGCTGGACTCCCACATTACTGCCTGAAGTCTCTTGTCATATAGGTCGGCCCGACTCCCACATTACTGCCTGAAGTCACTTGTAAGATAGGTCGGCTGGACTCCCACATTACTGCCTAGAAGTCACGACGCATAACACACTGGCGCTCGCCGGAATGCACACGGACTGAACACTTGTGTAACGTGCATGTGCATAGGATGTGCACCTCAGTGAGCACACATGTGACATGTGAAGTAACAGATTTAACACTACGAATCAGTACACATCTGTAGAATCAGAATCCTCTATCTACCAGTTCGTGACCGATTTCTCACACTTCCACTCTTGCTATAGCGATTTGTCATTCAAATACATGTCTCTCATAGTTTCCCGTTTGTGCGGTGACAAAAACGTTCCTTCTCTGAAACCAAAGGGCGTGGCATGCAATGCTTGATAAAGTCTTCCTCTTGTGGCTGACATTTCACATAATAACATCCCGCGTTTTAATGTGAGACATGACAAACAGAAACATGTTGCATTGTCAAACCTACGACGTCTCAAGTTTACTTATACACAATACTGCCGAGTGCAGCGTTAAATAACAAACATACAAGTAAATTTAAACATGCACATTTTAAGACATATGCTAATTGCGTAAGCTCAAAGAAAAATGATGCGATGCGTATACAATATGATTTAGTGAAATTACAGTGAAGATATTTACAACGTAAAGGGGCATGTATGTGATCACCAGCATTAGCATCAGTCTACGCAATTGGGATACAATGACATGTGTCAACCAAGTCAGCGAGCCTGACCACCCGATCCCGTTAGACGCCTCTTACGACAAGCATGGGTTACTGAAGATCAATTGTAACTCGGGTCTTCACAGGTTCTTTGATATTCAAAGAGTTGTTATTTACCGATTCACCTCACCTATTCGTAAGGGTCTCGTCATTACACACTTGCATAAAAATGAAACATGTATGTTCACACAAGGAGTTTAAAAGCAGAGACACGATGTCAATAATCTTTGTTTGTACAAGACTTTATTCAACCTATCTTTAAGAGCTTTCTGTTGATACACCTAGTCATCTCTTTACTGGTCCTTGTCTGTGCGGCGGCGTTGGGTACGGAACGATGTTTAGTGCATGTGAAGTACACATTATATGGGACTTACAGGGGGGAATTACCCCGATGTTCATTGGACCGTTATAGGGCTGCACTGGACCAATGGGACAAGCAACAGATTGTATAATTGAATTCACCCTGCAATAACATAGCCACGACCAGGCAAACCCCTAAAATATGCATATTCATCAATAAGGATATTGTTTTTTATGTCGGATATAATGTTTGTGATCTTCGAGATGCCTTCAGCATACAATGCTGCTCAGAGATGTTGCAATACCTCGGCATTTATTGACTGCAGACTGAGAAGATGTAATCAAAGTGGTTTTCAAACTTACTGACGCTCTCCCATTTTCTAAACATCTTTATCTTTCGAAAATACTTTCAACTGAATCATTTCCATAAGAAATCTAGGCTACACCACCTTATGATATTTCAGTGCTTGTTTTCAAGCATGTCTTTTAGGTTTGACTTCAGCAATATTAACATGCGATATCTGGCGATTCACTTACATGACAAAAAATAAAACATGCGACGACGATTGGCTTTGGCAAACGTATCATAAAGTAGCCATGTTTCTTTCTTGGTATTTCAGCTCTTAGTTGGTTGAATATATCCTTCGATCTTTCAATGGGGAAAATCAAAATCATGTGCCATTTTAAAACACGTTAATGCTACTTGGGTTTAACTTAACTTGGATAGAAAACTGTGACACAGCAATGTGCCACAGCAGAACAGAAAACTCTTTATTACCATACTTTATATTGTGCAATTGCAGTCAATGCAATACAAAGCGACGTCACATAACCTTTGAAATAGAACGTGAACTTTATGTCGTTTTTATACACTATATCCTGTTTGCCTCATACGGGTACTTGGGTATGTAGGCCGCCTCCGTGGTGTAGTGGTTAGATCGTCCGCCCGGAGAGCGGAAGGTCGCGGGTTCGATCCCCGACCACGTCATACCAAAAGACGTTAAAATATGGTACTTGTTGGTCCCTGCCTGGCGCTCGGCATGAATGGGTACAACAAGGACTGGTCGGCTCGGAGTCAGTATAATGTGTCTGAGTGGGGTATTCATGCTTCACTGCGGCATGGTATCTCAGTGAGCTAGCACTATAAAACCAGCTTAAGTCTGGGCTAGTACAAGCAGCCGCACATACACATACACAGGCATGCACGTCGTCATATGAGCGAAATATTCTCAAGCACGACGTTAAACCCAATTTCACCTCACCTCACTTGGGTATGTAAATACATCGGAAATGCTTATTACTAAAGCGCCCTAGTCGGCGACTGCTCATACAGAGTGAACCTGCGCTACTGAACTGAAGTCGAGAGTCAGAAATAGAGGACGAGACTTTAACCTGGTAAGAGCTTGCTGCCACTGTCCGAATGATGACAAGGACGTCTCCAAATGCAGGACAGATCAGCATACAGTTGTTAATCACAACATATTTCCTTGTATTTTGTTGGATTCACAGATGGTTCTTGTAGGGACTGATGCCTGGTTAACTTTGTTGTTTAAACTTGGGAATCAACGCTTGTCGAGTGACTGAATGTTTGACAGATCGTGGCGATATCATGCACGATCTGTAAAACATTCATTCACTCGACAAGCGTTGATTCCCAAGCTTAAACTACAAAGTGACCGATCCGAATAAGTTACGTTTACTTTATCAAAATAGAGCATGTCTTCAACCGTATTTAGTTACATTTTTTCTTAAGATTGCTCTTCTTCGTCCGTCAACTAGGCAGATTTATTATGCAGTTTATTCCTTTCAGTGTCACTGTCAATCAAGTGCACATACACGTGCATCAAGGTGCACGCGTCAGTCGTGGTGATGAAGACGCTCTATTTGGGCGTGGTCACAGTGCTGGCATGGTTGTGTCTAGCGCTTGTGTGCGACGCGGAACCCCAGAGCCATCTCACCTGGCTGGTAGGTTGATCGTTACATAGCTTGGTATAACCCACAGTACAACAGTGTTGTGGTATATTGCTTCTGTTGAGATCCAGAAGATGCCATTTGGAGTCAGGAATAGTCTAGAAGGGTCAGAGCATTCTGGGATGTTTTTACATACTTTATTACGGGAGGGGCGTATGTCTCTATCATCTCACATTACATCAAGGATAACACTTCTGCATTGAATATTCAGCCTAGACATATTTTGAAAGCTTGACCACTATTGCTTTGTGATACTTATTATCACTGGCTTATTTCTGTTCCAGCTGCTATATAATTCTGTATAGCCATTGTAATGGTACTGTCACTGAACTCTGTACTCCCACCCTGTCCCACAGTAAATGTACTTTGCAGTAGTTTGTATTGATTTATACAACGATGTTCATTTTCTCATATGTTTATTGTATTACATTTGTTTGTTGTGATTCGGTTGACAATGAATTTCAGATAAAAGCATTGGTTTCAATTTGGAAACGAGACAATTGCAATAGTAGAGTGCATTGTCCATATATCGCACAATTACATGGATGCTAAAATAGATTTATCACTCGTATAACTTTTTTGTCGTTGGTGTTTAACGCCACAACCAGCAATATTTCAGGTATAGGGTGGCGGTCTGTAAATAACTGAGTCTTGACCAGACAGTCCAGAGATCATCATCACGTGCATCGATCTACGGAGTTGGGCAGGATGACTTTTGTCAACCAATTTAAAGAGCCTGACATCCAACCGCGTCGGTAGCCTCTTACGACACGTATAAATTGCTTAAGGCCAATACTAGCCCAGAAATATGAAAAGGCGAGTAAAGGCCCGACGTTTTGTCATTTGGTGGGATACGTGGTTGAACGTTTTCTCAACTGAATGGTACATCATGTAACTATTCAGTGTATATATGTGGATCATGCCGCAAACCTGGAGCTAGATTTGATGTAACTAATGTCCAGAATTATGAACGGATGGTACAAATTGAATAAGAAACGCGCCATTTCACCCCCTAATTATGCTATTGATTACACACTCGCATCTGATTTATCGAACGAGGAAAACCTTCACTAACGCTTTCTCACTGAGTAATAGTGCCACGGACACTTGCGCCCTGCTTCAAACTTCTGCGTGGACCATCCATGTAATGAACTGGACATACACATACGTTTAACCATATGTGCATCTTAGCACCTGCTATCAGTCCTCGATGAATGACATCGTCGTTGCATGTCCGATGAAGTACCTCGGTCAAGGTCACACAAGAAATATAGCGTTCTGACTGGCGGACACACACAGGTTTGACTGGTGTGTGGATTGGTAGTTGCCTGGGATATTATGTCGCCTTTTGGGTATCTTCAAACAGTGGATAGCACTCCGTGCCTTCCAGGTTGTGTTTACGTGCCTTCTTCGTTCCTGTACACAAGCTATTTTCAACAGCGTGCTCTAGTCGTATTCCCTTCAACACAGCCAAACGCTTCAGGACGGAGGGTAAAACAGCTGATCAAGGAGGAGTGGAGGACCAACGAATCCCACCCAGTCAGGGAGGGGCAGAACCTCCGAGTGAGAGGATTCAAGGGCGGTTACACAGTGCAGGTCAAACACAACGGAAACGTCATCAAATCTGAACACTTCACTCTGGGTGGCAATGGTGTTGATCTGACCATCAATCTGTCGGGATAAGGTGGGTACTACATACATCAAATTAAATCATGTAAACCTTCGATAATATGAACTGTCAGGTGAATGAATTGAGGGAGTTAATATATCCTAAGTTACGTAAACCTTCAAACAATGATTCAGTATTATTTGTCGGACTCCTATTTAACACTAAATACCGGTGTGGAAAGGTGTGTATTCCAAAGTAGTAAGCGCGTATGATGTGTAACAGACAGAATTAAAATAACACAAAGTGCCTGAATGATTGTAAGTAAATCAAGTTATATAGAAACAGATATGTCTGTAACATGTTTTCTTATATTTGTGGACATTATATGCCATGTAACGTGCTTTCCAAATATTCCACTGCTATTATACTTGACATCTCTCCTCTTTCCAGGCAATAATCCGCATGTTAACAACATCATTATTGGATAGGTTTCGAGGCAATAAATTAATATTCCAACACTCGTTGTTTTCTTTCTTCTTATACGCAGGTCAGGATTTATCAGTATTGAAATGATTAGTCGAAGTACCCGTAATCGTTGCCGCTGGACAAATAGCAGTACCAGTTTACTATAGTATCACTGCAGTGTGTGTGTACTGGAGAATCGCCCCAGAGTGTTTACGTTATGCTTGCTTTACTCAGTGACACCGTGTTCGACTCAACTGAAACAAAGAAAATATCCCGTATACAACATTAACTTATCTTGAAATAGAAATCATCCGTTATACACCTTATACTTGTGACGTATACTTGAAAGATTAAACATACCAACGGCAGGGCACACCAGAAATGGGCTTCACACATTGTACCCATCTGGAGAATTGAACCCGGGTCTTTGGCGTGACAAGCGAACGCATTAACCATTAGGCTACCCCACCGCCACCGGAAGATATTGAAATGGCAGTGCAAATTCAATGACGGTATAAATACAATGGCAAACTGCACCAGTAGTCAGGCTTCCAAAACAGGTCTAGGCTGAGGATCCAGGGAGAAAAGTGATCTTCATACAGCTGCTGCAACCGGTCCCCATGTAATGTGAGATGACCAAGACAAGACTGCTCTATTGTGTGTCCTTAAGTAACAGAGAATGTCAGATACGTTTCATGGGGTTTGTTTTGACAGAAATCACAATCGTAAACTGCATGCCTCGTGTTACAGTCCTTTCAGGTAAGAAATGCACAGCTGCCCATTCCAGATGGTCGACGTAATCTTCATTATGTGCAATGATCTAACATACGTTAATATTTTGGAACTCAAGAACTGGTGGAAAACAACTTGGTTCGATGTTTGAGTGTGAAATTCGGTGGAAAACGATAATATTGGTAATTTTAGAATGCCAGATCTGGGGGTGAAAGTAATTGGGTCACTAATACTTTTCTAAAGAACAGTAACAACGTGAGCTTCCTGTCATTCTCTTTTTATATGATGACATTGCAAACATATTGTCTTCATATTCTACTAAGAGAAAGATAGACTCCAATATACTCCAACACATTCTATCCATCGCCTACAGTATTTTAGCTATATCCATAGGTATCCATCAATACCCAACTAAGCCCAATCTATCCTCTTGTAGGCTCAGTCTATCCACACTATTTTATGTCTATCTCCTAACACACTTCACATTATCACCTACCACGCACGATCCCTAACGCCCATGTCACTTCAACGCTCCATCTATCCTATTATACTCCACCTAACAGCCCCTAATCCCAATCTTTCCACCCGACGTCTCACTCACCCGTCCTTTCCATGCTACATCTGTCCCTATTATTTGTGTGGTGGCGTGTGGTCCTGTGAACAGAGCTCAGGTCACGAATCAGTTGAAGTTAAGCAACGTCGAGCTCGGACAGTCCTTGGATGGGTGACCGTGTTTGGCAGCTTGACCCCTGAGAGTTTCTAGGACTTCAGTCCTGCCCCACAACGAAGCACATGTGATACATGTGGTCACACCTTAGGCAAGTCAGATTGTTCCAAATTGCCTCTGTTCACCCAGCAGAAAATGGGTACCCGGTTGGATAAAGTCATGTGACTTCAACAGGCAGCTTGGGTTATCCAGGGTAATAAGAATCAGATTCTGATTAAGCGCCGGGAGCAATCACTTAGTTTTTGGAGACTGTGCACTATAGAAGATGACTTATTATTATTATGCGCCACCTAACAGCCCCTAATCCCAATCTTTTCACCCGAAGTCTTACTCAGTTGTCCTTTCCACGCTACATCTAGGCCTATCATGCTCCACCTAACAGCCCCTAATCCCAATCTTTCCACCCGACGTCTCACCCGTCTCTTCCACGCTACATCCACCCCATGAACACACATGCTACCGCGGCTTCCACTAAAATGGAATTTGGGACAACTGGTGGACTTTGTGTACCCCTCTGAAAAGTGTAAATTGGCACGGCTCCCACTGCCGAAAGCTATGAACACACATGCCATTTAGACTGTGTTCAGATGTAACATGTGTTGTGTTTGGAATTACAATTACTCAGTAAAATACAGGTTGTAGTACTTTATTGGTCTGAGGCCCATCCGGAATTCGAACCCATACTCTCAGAGTCATCCACCTAATCACCAGCACACAAAGTCAGCCGTCTAACCCACGCAACTCTACCACGGCTTCCACGATAACGGTGTTGGACAACTGGTGGTCTAGACCACGGACTTTGTGAACGCTCTAATAAGTGTAAAACATATCTACTCATCATCTACCACGTTCCATCTATTCCCTACTACGCACCTTTCATACCCTACCTCT